AAGTGATGAACCATAAATACAATCTCAAAATGCCGATTGCAACCGCCAATCAGCCAAACATGTATCATGGATTATCATAGGTTTTTGAGACAAGTATTTTGAGCATGGCAGGCCTGACACATGGCCCACATGGCTGGCCTCCGCCGAAAAAAAGGCGGCGGCCGCGTCCAAACGCTACGCCGCGCAGTTGAAGGAACTGGGCGAGATGGGCTTCTTGGACGATCCCAGAGGAGTGAAGAATTACAGGACAACCTACTTTTGGGGCGAACCCATCTTTTCTTCTAGATTTTCATGATTTTCCCTTAGCAATGTGGAAGATCAGTGGGGATTGCAATCATCTAAAAGAATTCGTGACCGGTTATAATGCCAACAAAACACCAGTGAACCAATGAGAATTTTATCCCATTCATCCGCATTTTTTCACCACTGGAAAGCGCAACGGAACACCCAGAAACTGGAGCCCTCGAAGATTCTGCTGGTTTAACCTGGTTTGCGCCAGCCATGTGCGAGACTTTTGGTTTCTTTTGGCACGCTGGAGTAAACTACCATGGCAAACATATCATCGTTGTTTTCCGACAGCACAACCATAGATGCTCCATATCTAAGTTTTGCAGCAAGGGCATGTCAAAATCTTGATACCCTCTGGCAAACTAACAGTTTGCTATTGAAAATGGCCCATAGAAATAGTTGATTTACCTATTAGAAATGGTGATTTTCCCTGGTTTTTTGTGTGTTTACCAGAGGGTATGTGTGTGTATGTCCTGTTTTAGTGCCATCATGTGATATTTGACAGTCAGCCTTTTGTGGTAGTGAGCAGATCCGGATGCTGTGAGTCTGTGAGCCTCCAGAGTTGCCAGTTGGATTCCAATTGCTCCATGGCTGGTTGGCAACATATTCTATCGTTGAATATTGTTGATAGAATAATGGTTGAATATTGTTGAATATTGTGGAAGATTGGTTGGCAATATCTCATTACACATTCCTTCATGTTCCTTCTACCAGATAATAAGTTCCTTTTATAATTACCGCCTCAAATTTGGAGATTCGGATTCGCTTCCCGGGTGCTCCACAATGCCAGTTTTTCTCTTCAAAGAAAGCCCATGTTTATGATTTTCCAACCCGTATTTGCTTGTTTATTTGACCGCAAATTTCATCAAATATGCCATATGATATAGCATGATATGGCCACATTGGAAGATGGTCAGAAAAATCCATGTCATAGATCATATAGATCGTGATTTACGTCATGATTTGATGATAGATATGGTCATTCAAATGGATTTTACAATGATTTATCATATCACATATCATATATTCATGTTTTCCCATATCTATTCATGATTGACAATCCATATCTATCGGTATCCATGATATTCATGTTTTTTTGTCCAATGATTTTACCATATCTACTAGTGAACAATCCACATCTATTGGATTCTACAGGATGGGGCCCCCCAGATATAAGTTGGTTTATAAACCATTATAATCCCCATGAATACTAGCTCGTTATATCTACCATAAACCATAGTTAATTCAACCACTTTTTGTAGGCACCTTAGATTCGCTATCTTGGGGGCCCCATATTCATTTTTGTTTTACAGTGATTTTACCATATCTACTAGTGATTGACGATCCACATCTATTGGATTCTATTGGATTCTATTGGATGAGGATTATCAATCATGAATAGATATGGTATTGGTGCCTATTGACAATCCACATCTATTGGATCCTATTGACAATCCTATGAATGATTTATACCCGTCATTTCTGGATCCACATTGGATGAGGCTTCGAGGATTGGGTCAAGGCGGTGGAACTGCTGGAACGGTGCGCCGATGCGCTAGCGCGTTCCTCTTAATGGGGACGTGGTGGGACTGGAGGATGCTACATATTGTTTATTTATTGATATGTATATATATATATACATATATACATATAATTATAATAATTAATAATAATAACAATAGTAATAATGATAATGATGATAATGATGATGATGATCATAATAATAATCATAATATCCATATGTGTATATGAATATTTAGATAAACCAGATATATTATGGAACTGATGCTAAAAACAATGATAAGTTGTGGTATGTCAATATTTGAACTTCATGCTATTGCTAGGGAAGCTTCCGTATAGATGGAGCATTTCACCATCCACCTGGAGACGAAAAGCGTGAAACCGCAGAAACGCAGAAAACCATTGGAGCCGTAGTTGAGCCGTATCTGTATCCCTGCGGGTCTTCTCTTCATTTCTTGGAATATCTTGGGATATATGATCTTATGATCTTCTTATGATCTTGTTATGATGTTCTTATGATGTTCTTATGATGTTCTTATGATCTTCTTATGTTGTTCACGTATAATATACAATCACCACCAAAAGTGTACCTCCAAAGGGTTGGTCCACCCCCTTCGCCTTCGTCGCACGTCGCAGGTACAACGGCCGTTTGTTGCGAGTCGCCAACGCGCTGAGTGAGGCCGCTTGGGACGTGGAAAGCAGTCGCCGCATGTTCTGACGCATGTTCTGAGTGATGCATAGATTTCTATAGTTACGATTTTTATCTTTTAAAGTTAGATATAGAACATTTATAGTTACTCACTATGATAGTTGGACAATGGGTGATTTATAGTTAGTTTACCTGTTCAAAATGGTCATTGTTCATATCTATGTTAGTTTACCACAGGGTAATTAAAACAAGTTGATACATACATATATATCTATAGTTAATCATATGTTATTCATAGTTTATCATTATATCTACCAGATTAAGTCGGTTTTATAGTAGATATATATCATACTATATTTAATTGGGACTACAAAGAAGTTTATAGTAGATATAACTATCATTCTATAGTTGATGGATAATGTAAACAACTCTATAACTGGCTGTGGCACCACCTTTTACAACTGATGTTGTTTCACGTTGTTTTGGAATCGTTGTTCGTCTCTTGAGTGAGGTAGGCTTTGCAGGAGATTGTGCTTAGTCATGACTGTATGTGAACCTTTAATGGGAATCATTTCAGTGTGATCAGCCACATCAGCCAGTGGATCAAAATTATCAAAACTGAAGATCTCACACCTGGCAGATGTTGGTCTCATTCTGGTGAACTAAGACTGGTTTGCAACAATATTGTCAATAGGCCCACTGAAACACTACATTCTGCATCTACTTGTGTTCATCGTACAGGAATCTATGTGCCGAAATTTAAATAAAGGTTGTTTTCTTGGTTGGTGTTGTGTGGAATCCAAAAAAGGTTATACTTGCGGATATATATTACTAAATAAGGGAGGAATAAGATATATATGTATTACATTACTGGTTTTTCCAAAATAAGGCTGAAATAAGGCAGGAATAAGATTTTTACCTTATTCTGACCTTATTCCATGACTATTTTGGTGGATCCTTAATAAGGCCTTAATAAGGTCTTAATAAGGCCTTAATAAGACAGATCTTATTTTTAATTTGGTAGGGGGGGTACTTAGGGAAGGGGGGCTTTTGGATCCCATGATGATGGTTTCAAACATGGCTTTTAGTTTCCACAATATATGGGATGTCATCCTTCCCATTGACTTTCATATTTTTCAGGGGAGTTGAAACCACCAACCAGAAAATTGTGCAGGGAAGTTTGTGACATGGTAGGACTGCAGTTGCCATTTGGGAAATGTTCGGACCACATATCCGAAAATCAAGACCTTTTCGGATTCCCAATGTCGCCAAGAACTTCATCGATGTTTGCTATAGGATACCAATAACCATTCCTACAGTGCTAAATTAAATTGGTATCATGTGCTGACGCTGACCATAGTTTTTTTTAGCACATGTGGGTATGAGTCAAAATTGGGTACCCCAATAGTTAGATGCTTAATACTAAGAATAGACTAAAATCTGTGGTCCCCCAGGCCCGCAGGTCTTCAATTTTGACCCATTCCCATGTCCTAATGGTTACCCTCTGATAAACTAACAGTTTGCTATTGAAAATGGCCATAGAAATTGTGGATTTACCCATTAAAGATTGTGGTTTTCCATAGCTATGTTAGTTTACCAGAGGGTATCATGTGCTTCTTTGGGTCCATGTTGATCCTCGCCTCGAAGCCATCCAAGCCATCCAAACCATCCGAAACTCGCCTGAGGAAGCCATGCTGCCGCAGGAAGCGGCTCGGCTGCATGGCTTTGAAAAGTGGCTTGGATATGCTCCAAGTGTTTCTCTGTGCTATGATAATTGCCCAATTTTGGGGTATTCACATTTATTTGCACATCATTGTTGATGAATTTGCATGCAGTACCCCATGTCAGGTCCCAGTTACAGTAAAAAGTGCTACTGATTGGTACTGTATATCGTGAAATTGGGTACATCCCAACTTAACCCGTTTGACGAGGCTTGTACCGACATATAATCCGGATTACAACCTTATATAAGTGGATGAAATGGGGGTATATACCCCTTCCCAATAGTGATAATCTTACATTGTGATTGTGTGTTTATCCCATTAGTACTGTTAATTTGGGTTGACCAGTGAATGCTAATCATCTCTTATCCGCATAAAGACCCATCCACATTAACTATAGGTACATAAGAAAATATGTGTTCCTGGTATTGTAGATATGTCTACCTGGTAAACCAAAAGTATGCAAAATTTTAGTCATTTCGGGAAAAACAGTTTATTTCAAACAATTACCTTTTTTCAATGTGATGGTCTTAAAATTACCTTTTTTGGATTTTCACCACATATCATCATATATCACTAGATTGGACCCTGGTCACCTGCCCATATCCACGGGTGAGCCTCAGTGGGCTCAAAGCGGGCCCAACTTTTGGAAAGGGCGGCCGGAGGAGGTGCAGCCCCCTCTTTGCTTTTTTCAGCTGGAGAATTTGCGTTATGTGCTGCACATCTGAAACCTTACTGGCCTTTGTAGCTCATTTGTAACTCAAACAGCGTTGGTTGTTGCTGCAATGGCATCCATCATCGCCAAATGCTCCATTGAGTCAGCTTCTAAGATCAAAGATGAAGGCTGGGGCTTTGACCATCAAAAAATCAAAAAGTTGTAGCACAATGAATGTAGGCCATCTCAATGTTAACCCCTGTATTTCCTGAGCTTCCGAAGGCCTAGGGGCTGTCCCAGATTCTTTCTGGGACAGCTGTGTGGACGCCCTATGGTCCACCCAAGATGAAACTTGCCAGCAGCGAGGCTCTTACCAACTGGTTGGTTTGCAATGGTTTTTTGTGTTCAACAACATATGGATGGGTGCTTTAAGGACCTCCCTGGACCCGATGAAGTACTTGATGTGATTATTCGAAATCTTAAAGCTGGTGGTATTTGCGCAGAGCTTTTGAAGGAGTGCTCTCAATTGTGATTTGGCATTCCTGAATATTTCTTTTCACTGCCATGGCCCTCCATCCAGGAGGCAGAGCCCATTGCCCCGCTCATCCACAAGGATGCATCGGCCTCACAGCAGAAGGACGAAACAGGGTCTGAGAGTGCTATCCACGAAGAAGAGAAATTTGACGAGCAATAGTGTCAATAGTGTTTATTGGGGGTTTGGGATTTGCAATTATTCCATACTTGGATGTCATGGTGAGGACAACATTTGTTGAGCCAAAGCTTGGATTGATTTGATGAACCATCCCTTTTTGGTGAAAAAAACATATTGTCCCTCTTGTTTGTATTGAATTGGTGTACTGCTAAACATGGTAAATCTATCTTACTGGTTTTGGGGCCCCTCTGTCCGAAAAATTACTTCATAGATGTCACCCACCCATGGTTAAGGAAAAACTCATTGGACCAGAAGTGACTGAGCCGGTGCCTGGAAACTTTTTGTTTGACAAATTTAGAGGGTTGAGCCGGTCCCCCAAAATTTTTGGGTACCTTTCTGATGCTGATGGAAAGTGCCTGCAAGCAACCTGCTTGCACATCACATTTTGGGCTGAAACCCAGCTTCGCTTAGTCTCATTTGTGGAATCCGATTTGGAACAGGCCATGCAGTATCGTCTTTGGGGGCCTTACCATGGTTACCCTCTGTGACGCTGATCTCAGGGAAAAGAATATGCGCCCTGCAAATGCAAATGCCCCTGGTTTCAACACCATCACATGTTTGTTGATGGTGACTGGTTTGGAATAAACAGTTCTTCCCGAAATGACGAACATGTTTGGTCTACAAACTAAGGGCAAACATCGATAGAATATATGTTATATATCTGAAAATAAATATATTATACAGGTATTTTATGATATTGCATTATATCATATTATATGTATCATATAAGTTATGATATCATAAAACATAATCGAATAAAACATTGTAATATAATACAAAATATAATATAATTTAATATAATACAAAATATAATATAATTTAATATAATACAAAATAAAATATAATTTAATATAATACAAAATATAATAAAATAAATATAATTTAATATAATATAATAAAATAAAATATAATATAATATAATATTATATAATATAATCTATATAATATATATTATATATATTATATACCGTCCCAGCTCACACTCATTATTGGATGGGGCGGCCCCTCATGCTTTACCCACGCAGGTCATGGCTGAACTCTGAAGCGATGGTGTGGCTTCTTGGTGGAGGCCCATAAGCTGCTGGTTTGGGATGCCGAATTTCTGGTTCTTCATATTCGGAATGATTTTTGGGCACCAAAAACCTATGTTTGTCTTGTCTTCTAAGTGCAGCTTTTCCAAAGGGTTCAAAAAATCAGTGGCATAGCCCCAGGAAGGCCATCCACTGCAACCTATATACCAGTTGAACCCATGGCAGATCCCAACGCACCTGATGCCATAGTCGCAGCTGATGAAGAGTCAGCTTACCAGTGGCCTGCTCGCCATCAGTTGGCGAGTTGCTGGGAGGAAAATGGTATTGTGAGGCAGAATTTGAGGGATACTGGGAGAATGCTTCTGTGGCCCAATCGGGATTCGACGGGCATTGCAACCCTTGCAGCTTTGAGTTCCAACCGGGTGATTGTGGCTAATGCGCTGACCATTTGGGCAACCCACTGTTTTTCAGAAGCCAAATCTCCCCCAGTGGAATGGCTGAAGGACGAGGCTAGTTTTGGGGAAACACAATTTATATTATATATGTGATTTTCAAACCAAATTAGATGATATAAGTGTTCAAGGGTCTTGGGGGATATCTTTGGCCACCCTGGTGGCAGGTGAAGCAGCTGTATGCGCTGATGAACATAGAGTCTAAGCCAGTGAGTGTATATCTGGATGCATGGGGTACTAAGAGGCTGATTTCTTTGGCGCTCCGCCGTTGGAGGTCCCCCATCAACAACTTCAGAGATCCTTGGTGGAGGGTTTTTTCCCCTGGCTACTTGATTCCCATGTCAATATAACCCCTTATTCTTTGATCCAAACATGTCCAAATTCTTAAGCCCAAGTTTTGAAGACAATCAAGGATCCACGTTTGCATTCGCTTATGGATTCTATGACTGACCATTGGGGTCACTTGCTCACAGCCCCAGACCCTGAAGCCGGGGAAGAGCCACCTCAGGGCGGTGAGGTCGTTGCAGATCATGAGGAACCTGCCGGCGAGGTGGTGCCAGCTGATGCGGACATGCTTCGAGCATCACGTGCCCTTCTTGAGGCCAAGCGTGAGGCGATTCTGAAGCTTGGTTTTATGATGTTAGGGTGGGGTGTGTCTTATAAGTATAATATATAACAATGGTGTAAACAAAAATATAATATACACAGACCATATTCCTTAAACAATATATACCTGGGAAATCGAACTTGCTTTGCCCAAATCTTGTCAAATCATGTTGATGCCCAGGAGACAATTGCAACAGATCCAGGATAAGAAGAACATGCCACATCCACCGGTGCCGGCAGCCCCATTGCCTGAAGTCCCACGAGGACAGTTCCAGCTGACTCCTGCATCAGCTAAAGTGCTAAAGTTTCATGGAGGGGTATCAAGCCAACACTTTAGTTGTTGAGAAGCTTATCATATAAAATAGATTTCTCTCTCAATAATATTATACTGGTTTTGTTTTTGATCTTTTCATTTTGATCTCCTGACATGTTTATTGGCAGGAATCAATGTTGATGCGGTTGAGACTATGCCCTATGATGTTGCTACGGCTGAAGTGCCTGTGGAGCCTTTGCCTCCTACCCCTAGCCCAGATGGTTCAAAAGATCCAGTCTTGAGAAAGCGTACTCTACGTCTTGGGGAGGCTCAGTCTGATGAGGATGAGCCGCGGCACCCTCAGCCCACACAGGTCCTCCAGCCACCGCCGCAATCTCTCATGCCTGCGGCTGCTGAGCCAGGTCCCGAGAGTTGCAATAGTGGTGAGATCTTGGATGACCCGGTGCCGAACTCGCATGATGGTCAGGACAATCCAGAGACATGTCCCCTTCAGGATGATGGCAATCAGGATTCCAAACCAGTCAATGGGGTTGATCTCAAGCCGAAGTCTGGTGATGAGCCCTCATCTCAAGGCTTCAACGCTTTGGAATTCCAGGACATAAACCCTATGGGTTCACAAGAGCTTATTTCATGAGCATGTTTTTAAACATTTTTTGGGGCTCACAACAAGTGTCCTAAAATGCTGGTTTTGGGGGTGTAAAAACATTGTTCAGGACACTTGTTGAAATTGGTATTTGGACTTATGCTTGGGGATTCCCTTGGTGTTGGGGCCTGTTGCCATGATGTTCCACAGGAGCCCGTCTCTCGCTTGGAGCAGTTTGGTGGGGAGCCCGATGTTGATCCGGACTTGCCGGAGAAGAAGCCCAAGGCAAAAGGTAAGGCCAAGGCAAAGGCCACAGCTAAGAGTAAGGCAGCAAGTAAGGCAAAGGCGAAGGCAAAGGCGAAGGCAAAGGGACGACCCCGAAAGCCTGCTGTTGAGAAGGCCCAGCCAAAAAGAAAGGCAAGCAACAAGGCAGCTAAGATGGATGATGATTCTGTTGATCAAGTCGAGGATGTTGAGGTGCATCCAACCACCCCAAAGCGCAGAGCCCCCAAAAGTCAGGCAGAGCAGGCGAGCAGGTCTAAGAGAAAAAATGAGAACAAAGCAAGAAAGTCTCAGGGATCAGGCAAGAAGGTTTCAAAGGATGCCACTGACATGAACCAGCCCAAGAAACCCCGAGCCTCGAAGGGCCAAGCCATCAGCTTTGGACGGCGCGATCCACCTAAGGGTGAGCGCTTGAAGGCTGAGTGGGTGGCAATCCGGGATGCATACCGTGCAACCCTCAACCATTTGGTGCCTGTCACGAAGCATGAGGATAACAGTGGGCTTATGGTTTTAAAATGCTTCCACAAGTTTCCAACAAAAATACATATAACCTAATATCTAATATATATAGAAAAATATATCATATAACCCTTTTGAAGTATGTAGAACCCTTTTGAAGTATGGGGAAATGATAGTAGGGGATTAGTTCATCCCTGCCAGGACTTGTTCTGGAAGTATTGCAAGCACACGAAGAAGGAGGAGCTTGGATCAGCCACCATGGAATCTTTGCCCGCAGCGGTGGTGGACATGGCCCATTCCTACAATGCCCTCCAGCAGTGCGCGTAGATGATTTGCCATCTTTTTCGGGGTGAGGGTTGCTAGCCGTTTTTCTTAGAGCGGCTGCTGGAAACCCTAAAAGGGGTCTTGATGGGAACGATGATTTTCCCGTCTGAGTTGAAATTCCTGCAGGGACAAACCTTGCTATCTAGCTTTCGGTGATGAAATCCATGCCAGAACATCTGCAGCTGAAAGGAAAAATGGTTTCTCTTACATGTTTGGCTGGTGTTTATCCGGATTCCTGAAAAATCCAATGACTTCCAAACACCATTATCTACTTTTTCCGAATGGTTCTGAATCTATAGTGGTGTGTTCACCTCACATCCCCAACATTCCCCAGCTCGCCACTGCACCTGGACAGGCCATGAAACGAGGACAAGGTTTTCTGGCTTCGCATGGAGCTCTTGAAGATGTTGGCCTCTCCAGCATGTTTGGCGGCCAGGTGTGTCAGATAGTGTATGTTGGGCTGATCTTCAAAATTTAAGGAAAAATCTGGTACCCACTCTTGGGTTTATTTGCGCATTCTACTCTGAAATCAGCAAATGCAGCTGGTGATTGTTCAAGGTAGAATAGATCACTTTACATTCCCCTGTTTCCAATGCTGGACCGCCATGAAGTGCTGCTGCGACAACTCATGTTGATACAAGGGTTGCCCAAGGACTGCAGAATAACAACGCACAAGATCAAAACACAATTTGGAGTTAGCCCATGGTCAAACATTGTATAGGCCGTCACCTTCCAGGAGTTTATTGCCATAGTGATGATGGTTGCCAACTTGGACGATAAGTTCATTCCCAATGTGGCCGGGGCTCAGCTTTTTGAGATCTTCTCGGGTCAAGCCAGGACTGCTAGATTGGCTAGCTGGTCTGGGTACAAATCGAAGGCGTTTGATTACAAGTATTCACGATCTATGGATCTTTTACACCCCTCAGGATTCACGTTTCTCAACTGCTTTTAGACATGAAAGACAGCACTTTTTATAGAGCAGCACATGGGGTCCAACATGTTTTGCCCACCCGATGCAACTAAGGTTGTGCATCGCCATCATACTGTTTGGGGACCCGGATTTGGTGTCGCTTGTTGCCACGGAATGTTCATCATTTATACACATGAATTGTGGCACATCAAAGCGAAGTCAAGCAATGCCTGATGGGGATCCAATGGTGGCGTCTGTTTGGAGATCAAATGGGCTTGCCGCCCGAACTTGCTTACTACTCCTGTTGATGTGCCTTCTATGTATGACTTGGGTCCTGGAGCAGCCAGGTTCCTCCGTTCTCATGAGGACAAAACGAATGCAATGGCTGGTGGAAACTGTTAAACCTTATCAGGTCATCTACTTGCAGTCATTCTGGATGGCTTGCTGGGGGCATGACAACCCAAAAAGAACTTGCCTTTGGAGTTGCAATCCAGCTATTCGAGTCTTCACCACTGACAAGATCGCTTTTGCAAAATGCACAGGGCTACCCACTGCCCACCGCTATGTTTCTGCCAAAACAGGGAAGGCTGGATATACAGGGACAAAGTCTCTCAAAAAAACTGAGTACCTCAAATTGCACATAGAGGGCTTGCATTTGCCTATATACATTCTTGCAACTGAAATGAAATCAAACATATTCTGATTTCTAACCAAGGCATTACCCGTTGAAGTTTGCCCAGAAAATGGTCGAGATGATTCCCTCCTTTACCTACCTTGCAAAGGACTTCAAAAAGTTCCCTCAGGCCAGGTAGTAGAAACAAAATTTGAATAAACAAATCGGTGATCATGTCCGTGAATCTATATAATCTATATATCCTTCCCTGCAAGTGCCAGGCGACAGGCCTGCTCGAGGACTGTTTCGAGAAGCTGCCCTGGAAGAAGGATTCTGAGTCGTGGCCTGAAGCATGCTTGAGGGGTACCATGCTGTATCTAAGGAGATCCAAGCGTGTGAGGCTCCCATTTCAATTTAAATCTATGATTCCCAGAGATGAGGTGGAAGCCAACCTTTTTCTAGACTGAGCCCTTTCAAAGTGCTCATAATTCAGAGTGTCAGGGCCATGCTGGAAACAAATTCATTCTTCATAGTATGAACCACTAAATTCATAATTTGTTATGAATTTTCAGCAATTGCCAGAGAAAATTTGTTTTTTGGCCCCGCACGTGTCCGAAACAATAGCGGAAATTACCGGAAAAATAGCGGAAAATGCCGGAACAATAGCGGAAATTCCCGGAATCAAATTTGTCAATTTCTGAATGCATTTTTGGTGGTAATTTATTAGTTCAATCTCTTGAAACATCCCACAGGCTCAAGCGACATGTCTTCCCATTTTGGGACTTTCCTCTCGAGTTCTTCCACCCTTGGTGAAGGGCTGGAACTGATGTCGAAACCAGTAGATGATGTAGTTGGCCCACATTTTGGCTTGGATGAACAAGAACAAGAATTGAAGGCACAACTTGAGGCCAGGAAACCCTGAAATAGAAAATGAATGGTATAAAGATTTGACAAACATGTTCATGTCGAACAATTCCTCTTACCGTTTGGGGTTGATTGGGGCTGTACTATCCATGCAGGCCATCAACGAGGAGATTGAAAATGCCCGAGCCGAAGCCTCCTCACCGCGCAAGCCTCGCAAGCTGGCCAAGTCCTTGGAGGCCAGTTGGCTGTGAGTGGCTTTTGGTCAGGTTGTGGAAAACCAAGTTATGTTTGATCTCATGGGCTAATTGCTCTTTAAGGGAGTTGCACTGGAAAGGCAGCGGTGACAGTATCAGACGATGGTCGCATCCTGAAACCTTTGAACAAACCTGCGAATTGAAACTTTGTTTATTTTTGCAAGCCATTTCTTCTTATGGATGTGGCTCATCCTAGGTTCACCTTGGCAAGATCGACAGCGTACTGCCGACTCACAGACTCCCCCGAGTCCTGCAACTTTGCTGGATACGCCCCGGCAAGAACCAATGGGAAATCCCTCACAGCTACCTGATGATATAGAGGAGAAGAAACAAGATCCCCCGAATAGCTTTGTTCACCCACCAGCTCGACCGTCCACTGTGCCAGCCAAAGCTTCTGCTGCTGCTCATCGTGGTTTGGACCAGTCGATGCCTCCACCGGGTGGCATCAGTCAAGGGGCCATAGACCGCAGGATCAGACGGGCCATGGAACCCAACGCTAGGGGTGAC